ATTGATTTGTTTTATACATGAGTTATAAATCAATATAATTTATTACTTATTTATCATGATTTATTTCCTACATGATACCCTGTAGTTAATAAAATATTTCTGTGAGCACTTAAGCTTATATTATTTTATTTGTAGGCGATAGGTAGAATTTATTTGAAATACTTTTGAATTCTATATTAATTGAAGTAGATGTTTTAATATTTAATTATATAAATTGTTAAGAACCCATTTTCCTACAAATAATGAATGTTTTTTGAGCACACCAAATATTTTGTTTAAAAGTTAATTTTAAAATATTTAGATGCTTCTAAAATTTAATGTGTTAACAATTTTAACTAACTTACGTGAAATGGTCAATAATACACAAAAAATTACTTATTTACACTTGGGGGGGGGGGGGGGGAAATGTAAAATTCTTGTTTGTAGTTTTACTGTTGTTATATTATTAAGTTGTATCACTATAGCAACCAATCAAATACATAGGGATAGACTATAACGGTTTTCTGAGAAAATCTATAAAAAAAAAAAAAACCATGTTTAATATGACCTAAATCAATTACAGATATAATTGGAATTATGAGTAAACAAAAATAATCCAATATTTTTTTTTTGTCATGTAATAAACAATCAACTTTATCGGACGGAAATAATTGTATTTCAATACACTACGAGCTACTTGAAATATCCAAAATAATGTGGAATTTAAGTCGTGGTTTACACAATGCTTAATACTAATAATTAGTACACGTCACTCACACTAAGCTTTTAGTGTTTAACAAGTTATGTTTATACGAGGTATCTATATACCAAGCACAAATACTATCATCAGGTGGTCACATGTTGCGACTGCAATCGCGAGTAGAGTAGTCGTGGAGGAGATAGCTTCTTGTTAGTAAGTAGAATGGCGTTCTCTTCACTATCACTCGCGGTTTTACTAATACTAAATACTAGGGCTGAGATTTTAATGTTCTGAAAATAGCAAAAAATGTTCTAAAAAAAATAAAATGCGAAAACGTCTTAAAAATTATAAAAATCATATTACAACATATAATTAATTATATTTATTTAAATTTGATCATCGTTGGACTCTTGCAAATAGAAACTTTTCTTTCGACTATTTTAATTTTGTTTTATTTCTGATAAATTATGTACATGCGCCGAAATGATCGTATTTTTTAGTTTATACATTCAGTAGATTATATATCAAACGTGGAAGTTTTTAGCGAACAAATATTCTATTATTTAAGAATTAATAGATAAATTCTGAAAAATGCACTAAAACTGCAAAATATGCCATAAAAATCCATATAAACTTATATTTGTCACGGAATGAGAAAAAAAAATGGGAAGTAAAAACTATATTAAATTAATCAGTATTACTCGAAACACATTTTCTGCTTACGGACTAACGAAAAAAAAGATGCATTTGCATCAAAATCCCAGCCCTACTAAGCACTAATCATACCGGTTTAAACGTGTGGTATTAGTGCGAGTGATAAGTACTAAGCACCGTGTACACCCGGCCTAGAGATTTTTTTTTCACGGTCTATCAGGTGGAACATAAATTCTACAGGTGTCGTATAAAAATAGGTCACATCTCATCCGGCAGTCATATTAGTTTTGGCATCAAACATCAAGTAGTGGAATAAAAAGTTTTTCGTTTGATATAAAGTCAACTCGTACGAAAAATAAAATAAAACTTAATTTGATAAAAATAAAACTTGAATACTATTTTATTATACACGTATACAAATACGTTTTAACGACTTTAGAAAATCTCGCGAACCGTAAGCACAGCGTTGTAAAGGCTACAAATAGTAGGTAGGTAGTAGTGGTGTAGAAGTAACATAGATCTGACGGATCAAATTTACAAGGCTTGCGAGTAGGACGTGTTGTCGTTATAACATTATTATAATTAACGTGTAGGCGACTGAACGACGTTCATTCGAATTAATAACAATAATAATCGCTGTACGTTTTGTTTTGATGCAATGATATGATATTTTATTCGAGCAAACAGCGTATAGAACACGATATAATGTAATTATCAGAGGGTTAGTAAAGAACATTTTTTTTTTTTTTTATTAAATATTGTCGAATACGTAAATAAATTTGTGTGTGTGTGTGTTTGTACATCCATTGTCTGCTTTCTACGCGTTGACCAGTGGCGTGACGATTTGTTGTTTAGGAAAATACGCACCTATAAACCCTTTAGGGAAAGGGTTATTTTATAGAATCGATAGTTCATGTACGTCCACACACATACATAGGTACACATATGTATACATATTCATACACTCACGCCAATACATTCATGTTGAACATATGATAATAATATAACGTAATATATGCACTTAACATTATTATATTAGCGGATAGTTAAAAACCTCTGGTATAAATAGTTTAAATTTAAATGACACTTCTTTAATAAAAATAAATATAAGGAATGCACGTTTATCTGTTCATCCTAACATACCAAAAAACAACAGAAACGCATAGTGCTGTACATGAAATAACATTCATTACAAATAAAAATGAATCATTTTTATTAGTTAATGATAAAAATAATGAAATCGTTGGGTTTTAAAAAAAAATAATAATTTAGAAGTGTTGTGTGATATCAATACAATATTGTTAAAGGCTTTTTTTGAATCTATCCAAAATATTTTTATCAATTTTTCACCGTTCACGACCTTGTTGGAGAATTATATATTCCGCTTGTTTTTTAATTACTTAATAAAGAAACTGAAACGTACGTTTATTTGAACATACTGTAAATAATTCTGTGCAATATCAATTAACATTTTCTCCTGATGTAGTGTTTATAGATTTTGAGATTGCAATAGACTGCAAAGATTATTTTGTCTAAAATTGAAATAAAAGAATATCTTTTCTATTTCGGACAAAATTGGTGGATAATGTTTCAAACTTTTGGTTTAGTCACTTGTATAAAAGTTTAAGCAAAGAAAAAAGTAATTTTTTAAAATATTTTTTTAAATTGACATTTCGAAGATCTGAAGATTGATGCATATTTTGTAGAAGATTTATTGACCAAAAAAATTGATCCAAAAAATTAGCAAATACAGTCATTTTCCGATTATATACTCATAACTCATACTTCATTTAATATTTATGAATTATATTATTTGCGATTAAACCAACACTTTTACAGCCTACTTCCTAAAATGTTTATCTTTGTAGACAAATTATTAGGACTACAGTTAAACATAAGTAAAATGACGAAGCTCAAAATGAAAAAAGAATAGTACTTTCGATAAAGAACAATAGATTAAGAGAGCAATTAACAATAATACTGAAAGAATATAATATAAAAAAACATACATATTTTAATTTAATTATAATAATTAAAATGAAATTGATATTTTAATACATAAAATTTATACCATAATTATATTTGACTTCTATTAAAGATTATTAGATATTAAATAAATAACATAATAAATTGCATAATTTGTTTTTTGACAGTCTCTATTTACCTATTATCTTTTTTCCAAACCTAACTTGCTATCCGCGGAGAAGAGGTTGAATAATTTCCGCAGAAAATAAATCATGGGAAGCCGATCCCTCATACTGATTATAACAATTATAAATTATTTACTTACTTTTTTTTAAAAAAAAATTATATACGCTTAATAATATTCCTTTTAAAAAGATGTGTGTTTTCAGTTAATAACAGTAAGAATAACATTCGTTTTTCTGAAAACATTTTTCGTTCAGTCAGAGAAAACATATTGTGCCCAAACACCCTGGTTAATAGTTTTGAAACTCTGAGGCATCCATATTACACTTATAAATAATACTATTTAGTATACACAATAATTGGCAAAGTTTAGGCCACACACATAGGCATTGTTGATGCTAGTCAATATGTGTATGTGTGTGTATCTGATGATTGCGAGCCACGAGAGATAATTTCTATTAAAAAAAAAAGCGTCTGTACTAAAATTAGAGTTTGCTTACGTGACATTGAAACTAGCCGTTGGATACTGTGGACGCGGGGCACATTATTTATAATAATAAACGACTATATTCACACAGTAGCCGAATATAATCCATTGTTCTATATTATAGTAGATTAAACGTCTATACTTAAGTTTTCCATCGAGAATATCGTATTTATCTGTTGTTAATTATAAGAAATTATATTATACTCACAGGAAAAGCAGAAAAATATTACAGAAATAAAAATGAATTTAATAGTGACATTTAAAACAGTGCAGTCTCGGTAACCCCTATGAATATTTAGTAGTAGTCCATGTCTACAGGTGTCAAATAAAAATAAAAATGAACAGTTGACGATTACGGATTGCGTAAAAATAATTGATAAAGAAATAATAATTAAGGAACGTGGCCGTAAACAATAATCACACGTATATGACAAGGCAGGTAGTCAAAAATAGGTCATTATTATGGCTATTGGACATGTACATTTTATCAGCAAAATGGATCTCCTGAGGATAACTCGTAAAAAGCATATTAACATAAACCAGTCAAAGTATAAATAATATTGTTTTTATTTTTTAAAAAGAGACAAAAAAATAATGATAATGTACAGAGTAACAACAAAACAACTTTAAAGTTTTGTAATACCTTTGAAAATAGCAATAATAAGCGACAATATACATACATATACAAAAATACATATATTACGTATGTATATTGTATGCATAACAAAACAAGATGAGTATATATGATATATCATTATATTTTTAACTGATTCTTCCATGATGAACGGACCGTTTTATCCTCTTAAATTTGTTTACCTTAGTATTTGGGTTTCATTAGATTAGACACTCCAAATTTTGGTGAAATTTCTTTCCAATGCATAATAATAATTATAATAATAATAATAATAATAATAGTAGTAATCATAATAATTTGTATATATATATAAATATATATCAATAATATATACATATATACACCATGTATATATGAATACATATAATATAATATATATATATTTATAATTTAATTTGTTTTTTTTTATTTAATAAGGCACGAGTTTTGGGTACACGGTTAGTACCATTTCAAACACCGGCTAAGCTTTTTCAGTGCAATTGCGGTGCCGAATATATGATCCCAAAATTGGCTGCTGATACCGAAACCTAAAACAGAGGAAAAAAGATCTGTCCATATCATTGTTACGAATATACATACGGACACATTACCGTGTATGTATAATAATAGCAAAAAGTATCCATGTTAGGAGGTTAGCTTTAATCAAACAATAAAATATCGAAAAGGACAAAGGATGTGAGGGACCGTATGGAAGGCGACCGAGCGTGTGACGATATATACTAACCGCTCTCGTGGTGTGCGAAATGATGTTGGTTGTGGTATCTTTTCATCGTGTACAGGTACGAGCCTTCCCTGGGACATCCGTAGTGTAAATAGAAATGAATTAAATCATAAGTTACATAGCCTGCAAACACGATTGTACTTGATTAATTACACTAATTACTATTTATTTATTGCAGCATAGGGTATAATATTTTAATATTGCGCTGGCAGGTGATTAGCGTTTGTTATGTTCGCGGATCACAAATTGTACACAGGTATATACATAGACATTTTATTATAAATTCGAATCAAAAAATTAACAAGAGGACGCGAAACACGAGGAAAAAAAAGAATTAAACGAGAAGAATAATTACTACACTCTCGCGATTCCGTTATAATATTTACAATATTATTTGTACTTAATCGACTTCCACATGTCTCAGTTGTAACGAATATAATAATAATACGTGAACTGCACTATATATCACAGACAGCATTCACCTGATTTTGGTTGTCATATTTTTACTATTAATAATAGGGTATTGATCTATAGGACTAAAAATTAGATAAATGTTTGCTATTTTATCACCCAAAAAAAATCTTAAAATAAACACTAGAATATGCCTTTGAAACATAAAAAATAGCAAAAAACAATTTAGGTAGTTAATTTTTTTAAATTACTTTCGTTTGTCGACCGTTAACAAATATTATATTTATATATTAATTATAATTATTATAAATAAATAATTATTTATGATTTAATAAATTTATAAAAAATGAAACAAACAATGAGAATTTTTCTTTTCTAGTCACAAAAATGTTTTCTATAATTTTAATTTCAATTGCGAGATTGATGAAAAACACAAAATTAATCAAATTTAATGATTATAAATAAAAATAATGTACCATAATATATTAGATTTGAAATTCTTGTAACCTAAAACAAATATATACATGATACTTTTTATAAAAGGTGGCTAACAAGTCGATCACGATATGAAATAATGACAATTAATAACCATGTAAAATAAATGTTTACACTGAGATTAAGTTAGCTATGTTGGTACACTCTACATAATCTAATGGATATTCTGTATTAAATAAAGGTCTTTATTCTGTTCATATAAATTGATAAAAAGTATGCTAAAATACGTGTTATGTAAAATTAAACGTTATTATCACTTATTAATATTTTAAATAGAAAAACTAAAGGAAATAATACATGTAAGAGTATATAAAATATATTTTTGCTCAATCTCAATTTTTTTTTTATTTTCTTGGTCGATCGTGACAATTTAGAAAAAAGAGTTAATACAATGTCGATCATAAATCTATAAAAGTTGGTTACCTATGGTATAAATAAACTATTATTTTTATCGGTACCTATACTAAAATGATTAGCTAATGCTATAGAATCCGATCCCAGGTTTTTGATTTCATCGATATCCGGAGCAAGAATAATATTACGTAAATATATTGACTTACCCGCTATCATACCGGCTAATACCAACGGTGCCATCCAATGGGGGAACAACATCAGGTATATGGCGTAAGCAGCCGATATGAGCACGGCAGCTGGTCCAGGCGGAAACAATAACCTTCGGTCGTCGAATGGCACCTATTTGTGGAAAAAAAAACAAAACCATAATGTTAAATCTTCCAATTATTTCATTATTTGTTTCTTATCTATATACTACTATATAAAGTGAAGTCGCTTTTTTTTGTTCGGGATAAACTCTAAAACTACTTATTGGATCGTCGTGCAGTTTTTTATAAATTAAAGAGGACATCACAGAGAAGGTTTTAGGTGTAAATTTAGTCCGATAAAGTTAATAAATAATAAGTTATTAGTTATCTATATATATAAAAATGGAGCCAAAAATATATAACATTTCATCAATTGAGAACGACTGCGCCTATTTGGCTCAAATTTTTTTTAATTGTTCGTAATTGCCAGGAGAAGGTTTTTACAAAAAAATTTTTTGGAAAAGTGCTATTGTTTAATAAATCATAGTTTAATTTAATAATTTTTGACCAGGTTGATAACTGCGCAATTGTAAATGAATTATTAAATAAAACTATTAAAAAACAAATAAAAACTATTTAAAAACTATTAATTTTATTTTTGATAGTAAATGACGGGTATTGCATAAATATTAAACAAAAAGATCCCGCAACAGGTGCCAAAATAAATAAGAATGTTAGTTCGAAAAATTATAATGCATATCGGTTGATGTTAGACGCGATCAGGACAAAGTAATTCTACGATGTCATGAGCTTTGTCAACAATTTATGGTCGAAATGTATGTAAAGAAAGAGAGCGAACGATTTCGATGCTTGCGATTCAATAAAAAAAAGCTGCGTGCAGAAGATTCTCAAAACAATTGTTAGATATTAGTGATGGGAAAGTTACTACATATGAAACGGGATGTATAAAATTACCGACCGCTTTCTGCACAATAATTTATTCACAAGATGCTTTCATTGACCAGATATTTCCCAATGTATACAGGCAATACACGAATCATGAGTGGCTGGCAGAAAGAGCAATTTTAGTAGCAAAAAATTGGACGTCAACGAATTGAATCTCAAGATACAAAATTTGTTACCAGGAGACTTGGGGTCGTACAAATCTATAGATACAGTTTGCGATCCTACTGAAGTTGTAAATTATCCAACAGAGTTTTTAAACTCATGCCACCGCATAGTTTACAATTGAAGGTTTAATCTCCGGTTATTTTACTTCGTAATTGGGCCCACCACGGTTGTACAACGGCACGCGATAAGTCATAAAAAATCAATGAAAAATGTTATCGAAGTCATCATTTTAAACGGCAAATTCTGAGGTGAAAATATATTATTACCACGAATCCCTATTATACCCACAGATATGCCAATACAATTTAAACGCCTTCAATTTCCAATTAGATTGGCATTTGCAATGACTATCAATAAGTCTCAAGGCCAAACGATGTTTGTCTGTGGCTTAGATTCGAGCACATCATATTTTTCACAAGGACAATTATATGTGGCGTGCTCTCGAATCATCCAGTTTGTGTTGGCGAAAGATGGGATAACAAAAAATATTGTACACTCTGTCACATTAAGGGATAGATATTGTTTTTTACTAATATTGTCATAATTAGCCATATGTATAATTTTAATGGATCAATTTTAATAAATTATTAAAAAAATAAATGTTTGATGTTATTTCATTTTTATATTTCGTCACCGTTCATAGCACTCCATACCTCTTTCTGACATCCTTATCCTTACATGCCTACATTAAATTAGTTATTTTTTTCTAGCAAAATATTCTCTAGAAATAATTTATATGACAAAACAACGTTTGTCGGGTCAGCTAGAATTTTATTTAAAAAAATTATAAAGCATTATGGATGTGAATACATAGGGCACGCACATAACCCCAAGACATAAGCTATGTATTACATAATGCTATAAGATCACGCTAATACACCGTATTAAACATTTAAAAAGGAAACATTCCATATGGAAATTAGTAACACAGATCGTAATTTGAGTGTTTTTGTAACATTGAATAAAGTGATTTCTTTTACCATTGTTAAAACAGCAAATACTCAGTTAAATTTAAATACTATGGTAGATTGAAATTTCCGTTACCGGCTGATTCTGGGGTATCTTTCACAAGTATATATAATTAAGTTATTAACATTTTTATACCACGAAAGCCTGTAACACGAATTTTCTTATTTTTTTTTTTTTTTTAACTGTAAGACATCACGCCTATCTTTCTAAGAGATGAATTACGTTATAGTTTAGGAAAAAAAAAACTAGTAATATGAAACATGTGATGATTATAATCTGTATATATATATATATATATATATATACTATAATCTTTTGATAGATTTTCTAATATCGGCTGTGGGTTGGCGACCTTGTACATTAGTATCGTCAATGAACGTTCCACACCGAACCAGGACCGACTTCTTGTGAATTGTTACAAAATAGTTTTACATTCCCGCATTAAAAAAGACACGATGAAAAAATGCATATACACATATATACACATAATGCATATATAATAAATATTTATTATAAGTATGAATAGAAGAATGTATAAATATTTTGAATTGCTTTTACAATTATTTAATAATAAACAAATAAACAAGTAAACAATAACATTTCCTTTAATCACTAAAAGTATAAAAACTATCAACAGAAATGTCAGCATTATGGCCGCAATTTAGTTTAGAAGATTACCTCTAGTTACTTATGTATGGCAAGTGTTATTTTATTTAATCTGAAAGCGATTAATCATAGAAATATACAATTGGTTCTAAATGGAGATTAGTTTTTTTATGAATCATAGTCAGTTCAGAAATGTTCGTTTCACAATTCTGTAGTTATTTTATAAATGTGATGTAACATAAGTATTACATACAGCTGATTTTTGATCAGATTCTAGACAGAAATTTCAAGGACTACGTATAATTAATATTTTTACATTGACCATGGAGCTTCCCTATATAGAATAATTAAAATCGTAAATTTAACTTAATTCTAAAATAAGTAATAAATACGATCTGACACAAAATTATTTGGTTTATTTTTATTTTTAATTGAAAGTTCAACTTCAATTAATGTTCACCAAAAAGTAGCTACATCTATATAAAAATAAAATAATTAGGAAAATATGCTTTAAAGGGACAAGAATTTTCACAAAGAATATAATATTAAATAATGTGAATGAATAAATAGCCACATAAATCATTGCTAGACAATATATATGCACGCCTATTAGAATTGTAATAGTTGTATATAAAACATAATATTAATAACGGAGGTATTCGTGACTCGTCCAATAAAACAAGGGTCGCTTTAGTTTTTTTTTCAAATATGTATTTGTACAAGGGACTCGCCATCTGCCAGTTGAAGGTTTTTGATGTAAAAACGTATGTAATTTTCTTTGACTTTTATTAATGGAAGGCCTTCCATCGGGACGTTATATTATGAATTTATCAGTCGTACAAACTTATTAAAAATTTAAATTATTTATTTAATTCGAGCTCATAACTTATTGGTTAATGTACGTTCATACGTAAAGCATTATTTAACTGTATGGGTAATCAAAAGCAGCAACAATAGTAGACATATCATCAATTTTTTATGGTTGTTGAGAACGATAATATTTGAAATACACAAAGGTCGACAATGCAACACCAATGATAATAATAAAGTTGTTATTATTTTGTAAACATTTTTGGTCTAAGAATATCGATATTTGAATAACATAGGATATCACAAGTTTTCAGTGGATTTTATGAATATATAGAATTTATTTATTAAATTAATTTTCATACAGGCAATATTAGGAGGTATATATGAATAAAACACGCGAGTATACGCTTTATTATTTTTTGAACAAAATTTGAAATTGAAAATTTACAATCACAAGTGTTCAATTATATTTTAATTCTCCTTATTTCTTTATATTGTAATTCAGACCACTACTTAGTCTTGCGTCCACGATATAACATTCGTTATAAAAAATATTTATATAGTTTTATAATGTAAATAAAATATACCAAACCAAAGATCAATTAAAAATATTTATTTTATATTTTAGGAAAACTTTCATAGAAATTAAAATTTTATAATTATATGTGTAATAGGGTGGTGATAGTTACAATAATTTCGGTTAAATTTGGTTATGACTACCCATCCCTTTTCCTGTGCTCCTAGGGGGTTGAAAAATAGCCAACAGGGGTACTTTTGATATTTTTCTGACTAAACTAAAAATAAATAATACTTAACGAAAAAATGTAAATAACATAAATTGTAGAACGAAATAGTATCAACAAAAATTATAAATATTATTTTCAAAGAAAAATAATAAAGTACATTTTTAACTTTTGTCTAAATCGATAATTTGTAGTAATTAAAAATTTTTGTCGAATAGGAGTTATAAGTGAAAAAATTTTTTTTTAAAAACTATGTCAAATTAAATTTCTTAATAAAAAGTTGATGTGTAAAATGTTTATTGAATCCTTCATTTCATTGTTTGAATAGGACTTATTAAATATTAAGCTAAAAATACGATAATTTATCTTTTTATAAAATAAATTAATATGTTGATATTGTAATTAAAACTAAATTGGAAAATATTTTAATAAAATGTACACTCTTAATAATTCAATATATATCAAACATTTTATCAACTATTTATATAAATTTGAACCATCTTATTTAATAATTTAAATATTTCTTTTTTTTTTTTTTAAGGTCTGGATAATAATTACGATAGGCACTGATACTTGCAGTGCTAATTGTTTCCATTCTTAATTTTTTTATGAACAAATTGTTTTAGATTTCAATGAGTATTTATAACACTTTTCTCAGCATTATTTACAACATGTAGTTTTTTTACAACGTCTATTGCATTTTGATAAGATTTGTCAACAGTCCAAGGAGAAGGACCTTTTTGAAGAAAACTAATAACAAAAATGAATATATTAAAATGTATTATCAATTTCACTTGATATACAATTTTAAATTTCATACATCATAAAATCCACAGCGAACCAGGGCATCAAACCATAATAATTTTTTGTGGTTAATGGTTTTAGTTCATCC